TTCTTTGCTAGAAAAATATAAGGACTTTTCTTTCGGCATGTTGTGAAATATTTGGGATGAAGAAAAGTGAACTCTTTGAAGCATTTGATTTGTTTGATGTGAGAGATTTTGGAAAGGTAAGGATCCTTTTAATTGTATCCTGAGTAAAACCTGTGTTCTGCTGCTTGAGTATGGAAGACTTTTATAGTAGATATGGTGTAGAAGCTGTGACAATTAAGTGAACACTCATTAGTACAAAAACATTGACAAAACATTAAGAAAGCAAAGGAATTAAATTTACATTGGAGTGGCTAAAAATGGCAGAGAAAATTGGATAGTAAAGTTCTGTAGGTGTGAAATGCATAGATAAACTAAAAATCTGATTTAAAGATGCTGAGTTAAAGGTAAATGTGTGATGATAACAAGCTGTGGGTGAGTGCTGTCTGGTGAAATCACTTTTGACACAAATGATGTGGAATCAGAAACCCGGGATCTATACATTATAAGACCACATGGAAGAGAGTGTGTTTATTTTCTCTGAAGTGCTTGAAATTCTCCCATATGTCTGCCCTTGCAACTAATTTTTTACAATTAGTTTTCAAATCTGTTTTTTTTTTTTTTCTATACTGCTGTCAAGCTCAGATACAGCTATGGTAGGTTAATGTGACTATTTTAATTTACACAGCCTGAAGTATATTCTCTAAGCCAATTATTAGTTATTCTACATGTAAAAGTTTTTTCCAGTCTATTGTTCAGAACCTCCTACATATCTGTTTGATCTGTCCTTACCAGCATATGTTCAGTTCACCTTCAGTTTCTGCTTTTTACTCATAGGGTATCATTACCCTAATTTCACAGGAAAATGTCTAAAAATGGCCTGAAGTAGCACAAAAAATAGTTATTTATTCAAATGTAGTATATTTCAAGCATTATTCCTATTTTAAGGAGATAATAATTTTACTAATTTTTATACACTGCTTTTTTTATAAGAAGATAGAAATGTAAAGATGATGTAAAATTGCAAGTGTGAATCAGGGCTGCAATATAACTGTTTGAAATGGTTCAATGATTACTGTTTACCAAAATATCAGTTCTTTTTCTGAACCTTTTATCTGGTTTTAAGGTCTTTGAGTATAAAATTAGGTAAGCTTGATAGTAATAATTTTTCTTTCATTATGCTCAACATCTTTCGCCCTCAGAAATCGTATTTAAAACTAAGCTTTTGTTAAAATATAGGCTGTTTTACAAATGCAATGTATTTCTTATTAAAAATGAGATTTGTCTTTATTTTGATTGTGAAAGTAGTAGAGGAAGTAAAATTGTTTGGTTTGTTGTGTTTTTGTGCTAGCAATATCTTAAGGTATTTCATAAGTCAAGTATCTTAATGGTTGCTTAAATCTCTGATACCAATGCACATAATTTTTATAGTATTGCATATTCTAATTAATTACTGAGAGTTTCACATTTCATGCCACATAATCATAACCAGTTTTTTTTTTAATGAAGTCTAATTTTTGAAGAATCACTTTGCAGTACAAGTTATTACTGTTTCTTTGTTGAATACCCAGAAAATGAGTTTTGGATTAGGGCTGAATTTAACCTAACAAATATGTTTCTGGCACTATTCAATTGTCATTAAAACAGAATTTATTTTAGAACATGACTTCATGTAAGTAGAAATATTGGTTAAAACCCTCAAAACAACTATCTTCCATCTATGATATTTAGTATTGCATTTCTCTTCCCAAAGTACAACTAAATCCAAGGACAGGGATTTTATTTTACCTGTCTGGTTACCACAGCATAGCACAAACTGACTTATTATTCCTGGTGCTGATATTTGTTATGGTGACAGTTCTTTACAATGAATTGTTTCTCTAGTTCTGATCTCTTTAGGGGCCTTTGCCAACTTTCTTGGAAAGCTACCAGTGAAAATGCAGTGAGGACCTGGAAAGGTGCAGGTGTGCAGGATTTATTCTTGAGGCTCACGATGTGTGCAGTAACAGCTGCTTGTGCAGAGGTGGAGACGCTGAACTGAACAAGCCTGTGCAATCCTTGGAATGGCTGTGTAGGGCAGGATGTTAGGTGCATAATGGATCTGCTGTTCAGCTGTTTCCTTTGCGTGCTTGTGTGGAAGTTTGCCATGCACAAGTGGAGGCTGTGAGATGCGGTGTTTAGGTAGACGGATCTGTCTTTTACTGACCTCTGCAAATGAGCATGTAGTCAGTTTCCTACAGCGGCTGGTGAACTTGATGCCATTAAGAAACTGGAGGGGGGGAAAGTTACAACTGTATTAAAATGTATAGCCAACTAAGTTATTTCTGTGATTTGAAGCATATTGTTTGTACAGTTATCTGAGAATATATGTGGAGTGGCATGGGATTTCAGTTGCATATCTGACAATGTATTTATTATCTTGCGAATTCTGATTGTTAGTAGCAGCAGTGATAATAAGAAACCTTGTATTTTTAAAGTTATTTGCTTCTCAACTTTCCCCTTAATCTTTTTTCCTATGAAAAACAACTCCAGTATAGTCCTATGTCTCTAGCCAGCATGAACTTGTTTTATATACAAAAGGCCAAAAAAACCCAAGCTGCAGATTTTTTTTGCCTCTGCAGCCAAGTCATTCTGCTGCTTCTAAAATAATTTTTAACTGTTCTCTGTAAACGTGTACAAAATATATATGATCTTAAAATTATTACAGGCACAAAAAGGATAATGTGGTGTAGAAACACTTGGTTTTCCAAATTGCTGTCTAGATGGGTGATGGAATGAGAGCGTGCAATATCTGTAGTTTAAGGCATGTTATTGGAAGCTGTCTTGAGAAGTTGGCAAGTAGTGTTGATAGTGGTGAGATCTAAATAAACTGTAGCTGAGGTGACTCTGTAAGCCTTATATATCCAGTATTTTTAAATGCTTCATTTGTATGTACAAAGAAATGATTTGTTGTTGTATGATGAAATGTTGTGCTTGATGTGACAGATTTCAATGACTTTTGAAGCATGCTAATGGAGGGAACACGAGAAATGTGTCAGGTGTCAATGAACAATATACCTTCAAGGTAATAAGCTTGAAGGGAAAAATTAAATGAGGGAGATCTACTGACAGATCTTGTGTGTGGTGTTTTTTTGTTTGGTTGTTTTTCTTTTTTAAATATTTTGGTGTTTTAAAGTTCTTTAAAGAAAATGACTACAAACCCCTGTGCATGGTTCTACCATGCAGCTGTACACTGGCTGTGTAGTCATAAGATTTAACAGCCTTGTGAAATAATGGTTACAAAATGCTTCATGTAATGCTGAAATGTGCATTTAACAGTCAGGCGTAAATGAGCTGTTTTCAGGTACTTTGACATAATGCATGAAAATTTGACCTAAACTTTGTGCTCCAGTTGGCAGAGGCTCTTTGATCTCTTAGTGATTCAAGAAAAAGATGGGTGTATGTGGTGTAGATGGGAATTAGAGGTGAAGCTGAGGTAGCAGAATGTTAATAGTAAGAGAATTTAAAGAAACAAGAGAGCAGGTAACCCCACGAGTATGTTTTGATGCATACATTCTGTATACACATTGGCATCAGATGTTAAAAGGTGAGGGTTTCCTTCTCTTTCAAGTATAATAGCACAGATTTTCTTATTTTTAGACTGTCTGTGCTTGAAAAAAGAGGGGCTATATTACACAGAAATAGGAAGGTTCTTAAATCATGCTTTCTAAAACTACATTAAGCCTGTTTTTCCTTGAGTTCCATAGTGTTCACTGATTCCCACTCACTCACCTTTCTATCGGTAAATTTAATTGTTGCTGCATTAAGTTCCTGACTGAGCATGAATTGCCCTCCCACGCACATGGGGTGCCAGACTGTGTTTTCATTACGAATTCCATGCTGGAGAGTCATTTTTCACTAGTGTAGGGTTGTCAGGTTCTTCCTTTCTACCTGTGTGCCAGAATCAACAAATGATGTTGATACTTGTTCTTTCAGCTCTGTGAGCCTTGCACACTTCTCAAGCTGCAGTCTTTGCTGTTTGGTATGCCACAACAAGTTGTTCCTATTCTCTGAAGGAGGTTTGCAACTAATGCATTAGAGAAATGGGAATCTGAGGATTAGTTCCAGCGCTTGTTGATGTCAATAGATGCTTGCTGGCCCAAGGGTGTTTGAGCACCTGTGGGGGAAATGGTATCCAGATATTGTCAGAGAAAGAACTTTGTGTACTCTGCTTTAAACATTCTAAGCAATATATAACTGACCACAGAGTGTTTTCTATGATATAACTGATCTAACATGAACATACAGGTAGACACCTTAGTAGGGGATTCTGCAACAGATGTGTAGAAATAGCATACAGTATTCAATAATTACTTAAAAAAATAAACAAGGGGATCAAATAATCAGCTGCTACGAGTGAAGAAAGTACCTAATTGTTTAAAAGCATATAACATAATGTCTAGTGTAGCTAACTCTCCAGTGACACTTAAAAAGCTAGTTCATGTAAAAGCAAGCAACCGGTGTGGAAATACTGAGTGCATATACTAAGGTCATGCAGTTTGTGGTAATTTTATTCACTCTTTGTGCAAAGGAAATCCGGGGGAAGATGAAGCAGAAAGTCATGCTGAAGTTGAGGGTCCTGATGTGTTAGTATTCCCTCAGGTTTAACAGATTCCAGGAAGGTCAGGCAGATGTGCGTGAGATACATGCACCAAAATTAACACAAAAAAGAGCAACAGTTGTTATAAAAAGTTGTATCTCTTTCCAGGAAAAAAGAGGATGAAAAATGTTTGAGATCGTCAGTAAAACTGGAGCAGTTGAAATTAGCCTCAGTTGTGTTTAACTTTTTATTTGGCTGATTAAATGATTGAGGTAATAGAGAAAAATGAGCACTTGTGCTAATGAAGTTGTGTTAAAACTGCAGAACATTGGGGAACATGCCAAGACATTATGGCAGATTTTTGTAAAGATATTAAATTGGAGAAAGAGAAATTAACTTGTAAAAGCAAGACTATCATTAAAACTGAGCTCTGTATCTTCATTCTCCGAGCTCTTTAGGTGGTAGGATTAAAAAGAAAAAAAAGCTTAGTGGTTTGCTCAAGAAACTAGCTGTGCAATTGCTCTTAGGAGTAGCATCTTAATATTTTCAAGTGTTTTGGTG